CCTTTTTGTGTTCAGTCCTCCATTCCTGCGATTGTGGCTGTCTCTTTCTTGGATTCATTAATAATGTATTCTCCCCCCCCCCCCCCCCCCCCCCCACCAAAAAAAAAAAGATGGGAGGATGAAGTGTCCTGTGAATCATGGCACCACGCAAGATGACTCCTTCATAATGGTACGTAAAATCAGAGTAATGCTATGCTACTGCTGATCTTCAGTTGGCGTGACTTCAAGCTACCTGGATCCTGCACAATGACAGCATCTTTTATTTTTATTTTTTTCCCTCCACAGGATGCAGCGAAAGTGTGCCGCGGGTTTGTGCAGCGTGAGAAGGGGGAGGTCCGCTTTTCGTCCGTGGCCTTGTGCAAGGCCTAAACGGACCACAAGGGGGCGTGGTTCTCCCAGAACCACAACAGCACATAGCTTCACGCTTCCTCCCGCTGTGTAAATGGTGTCTTTTTGCAAATCAAGAATTCTGTTGTCAGTTGCCGTACTTTGTTGGAACCCTTGAAGGCCGGTTTTGTTGGAATTTTCCTAAAATGATGAGGCTTACTGCTACTGAACGGTTCCTGTCATCTGTAGTACTATGTTACAATGGCTGTGCTGCTGAGAAGACTTGGTTCCTTAAGTCTTATTGCACTACTGGTCATGGCCGGCCGTATTTAGGATGGTTACAATCCAGTTGTTAATAAATTCTTTGCTTATGCAACTTTCAGTGAGTTTTCTTTGAATGGCGGGGAAGTCAAATTTTTCCATCTGCCGCATCATGAGTGGCCACTAGAGGGCAGTCAATGACGCTGGTTCACATGTTCACCATTCGGTTTTCTAGAATGCAGATTTGACTTGCTTGTAACGCAGCCGGAATACAGCTAGTGGCAATGGTAACTGGTATTGACAGGACGTGTAGAAGTAGATATTAGCAAAGGGTGGGATAATGCTCAAACTGACCAACTTGGGGATTGGGGGGGATGGTGTGTAGACAGTAACCAAAAGCATGTGATTTCTACCCCCTGCGTATTTTCTTACATGGTTCTGAAGGGTAATTGTACAATTCCAGTTGAATGCCTGAAATAAACAATCAACGGTTTCCACGCTTGAACTTCTAAAGACAACCAGCTTGTGTCTGTAATTCTTTGGGGGGGCTGATTACCTGAAGCAGTCTTTGTGAACAATGAGACAAAACGCACATTGCGGGGGGGCTGTGCACGGTAAGAACCGACCGTTTCTTGCAAAGAAATAGTACAGGTCCTATTGTAAGTTGGGTTTTTTTTTTATTTTGTTGCGTGTGACTCTTCATTGGGTATTTAAGCTGCTTTATGTTCAATGTTCCTGAACAAGTGCTCTCTAAAATAAAACGCATGTTTTTCGTCAAATGAGTTATAAAAAGAACTTTTTTCTATGTAAAACTCGAAACTTATTCCAGAACATTCTGCCAGGAATGCTTTATTCTACCGGGTATGTAATGCAGTGGATGAGCACATTGGACACTCAACATATGAGAGGGAGCACATCCAAACAAGCCTTTAACTGTTATGGAAGAACAGTTTGATTAAAGAAACCAGCAAAGGACAGATCATTGGTGCTTTAATTTGCTCATAATGTAAGGCTCAGCGCCATTGGATTCCCAAAAAACAATTGCCGTTACATTCTGCTTCCTCTTGGTATTTACGTTATGTGATCTGGGGGGCCTGGGGATTTCCTTAACTAATTATAAAACATCGCATCCCAGTCTTTCTATACGTCTAATTGAAGGCAAACTTTAATCTCAGACGCTCACCTGAAACGAGAGTGAGGACATTAACGCAAGTCTGCGTGACATTTCATTATAATCAAACGGGCATTTTAAAGGCTTGACCTATTTTTTTTTTTTTTAGATGTTGAGCAGTTCAGCTCATTCAAAAATCATTGTGCCAAAATAATTTTGTCGCAAGATGATGTTTCAAGTTCATATTGCTTGGTCAGTGGTATTCAAATGAGTAAAAAAAAATAATGGCAACATGTTCGAGGTTAGATACAATTAACGTCGGGCCGGTAAGAGCAACTTCAGCCTGTTGTTCATAGTGCAAAAGGTGACCGCTGGTGTCCCGACGTTAACAGATCGGCTGCATTGTCCCCACTAAAAAGCCTCCAGAGCCCCTCGGCGAGAGCGGGCGTCCTGCTCCTGCGAAAGGCGGCCATGTGACCGCGGCTGGTCGGAGGAGGTGGTGGCTCGCTTTGCATTGGCTGACGGCAGCGCTCCGCTTTTTCGTTTATTTTTAGCCAATGGTTAGGCTCACATTGCAGGGTGGCGAGTTGAGAAGCGTCTCTGACTTGTCCCAACGCTCGGGAGACCGGAGAAACGCGAAGTGCAGTGCAGGTTTGCGGCAAAAAAAAAAAAAAAACGAGGGGGAGAGAAGCAGCATCCACGGAGCTGGAGCTGCGTGATACAGCCGCGTCCAAGTCAGCCTTTGGGAGACTTTGAAGACGGCAACTTCATCTGCACGTCGCAACGTCGCGCTTGTTTTGATTTGCCAAAGCAGGATATATAAAAAAACTTATATATTAATTTTGAATACAAATTCAGAGCGTTGTATAATCTAAGGTTTTACAAATGGCCAGTCCCATTTCACAAACTGAGAGAGATCTCCAACAGAATCAGCTCCAGCCCTCGGAATCGGCGCCCGAAGCCGCGTTTCAGGAGGCGCAGAAATGGATTGAGGTGAGTCGCGATTCTTAATAACTGGGGCTTAACATCGCTTGTAAACAACTGCACCACATCAAAAAGCAACATAACCAGACGCTCTTTGCGGCACATCGGAAACGCAAAGGACGGCTTTTCGGTGTACTGCTATTGTAAGTATTTCAAATAAATTGTTCGGTATATAAATATTGCACGGTCACCTGTTGTAAAGTGACACACAGTTGCCTTTGCTGCGCATATAGTGTTACACTTGCGCTCCGAGGGACGGCGCGTTGCTACGTCACGTGGAATAGCTGCATGCAGCATCGCGGCTCGCGCGAGGGGATCACGGCAAGGGGGGGATCTGGGGGCTGTTTGTCTGAGCATCTCACTCCTGCACGTTTGGCTTTTTTTTTTTCTCCTTTTGCGTTGCCATTATTGATTTATCCGGATGGTGCATTTAGCCTCATGCGCTTTTGGGGCGCATCGCACCACATTAAAGACGATGTAGAAAAAACGCCTGACGTTTAGTTCTGTTCTGCTTAACTTGATAACGTCCCCTGTACAAGTAAGAACGTCTCTGGTTACTGCAGTGACTCGCCTAAACCTGGTTTTCGTGTGTATATCCAAACGATCAACTGGAGGGGCTTAAGTGGAGAGAAGAGGTTAGATTGACGTGGGGGTGTAACGTAACCGACCAGAAGAGAATAAAGCTTATCAGGCGTAGTCTGTATGGATGACAGGAGTGTATATAGCATGCAAGCACGTGTGGTGGGTTTACATGTTAATCTAGTCTCATTCAACTGAGTATTGCGCATATGAATTCAAATGGCGTACGGAAAAAAACTGGGTGACCCATTTCCAGTAGCGCACGGTCACAGCCATTGGATTGGTGGCAATCATAATATTGCAGATAGAGCTCATGTATTTCAATTACGCTGTACCACACCGAGCGTAATCGTTAGAGACGAGACCTATTTTAAACTTGAATCTAGATTGAAAACTTCTGAAATGGCGTAAATAATGTTTCTGGTCTCATTTGCAGGCTGTTACCTTTGAAAATGTTTGCTCTTGCCAGCCCTCATTATACAGCGTCCAGGAATCCGAATGTGAAGCGGGATCAGTCTCCAGCGTCGATCAAGTGGTTTTTAAGCACTACTGTTTATGCGCGGGTTGTAGTTCAACAATTACGGTTTTATATTGATGCATTTGGAAAAAACAACTTTATTTCCGCAATAAAAAAAATCCTTCTATTCTAGAGTTGTCTATCGATCGAGTTATTCAGTTTTTAGTTCTGGAATTGCATGGTGTTAGCGATGATAATAATAGGCCTAATAATAATAATTAATAACCCAACTAAATAAATAAAACACTCCACTATTGAGTCAGTTCTCAACGGTAAATGCCTTCGGCCTCGTTCAGAAGAGCTCCGCACCTGTGACTGACTGCTGGAAAATAGCCTTATCTGAAATATAGCCAAGGGACAAAAACTCTGAGAAGTTTTCAGTGGAAGTGCTTCAACATGGGTCCTGTTTAGCCAAGCTATTTGTTACATCTTATTTACTACAAGCGGGCAGACAGTGTCGGCCATTCATCAGTCCTCTGACCGCTTACCTAGTGCAGGGTCGTGGGGCCGGCAATATCATGTTAAAAGTAATGCAAAGAAACAGATACTCAGCTATGCTCGGGAGGCGAATGCAGGCGAGCGGATGCTAATGAGAGGGTAGTCCTGAATGACGTAATCTGAATACAGCGATGTGGTGAACATCGAAAATATATCAAACGAGCAGGAAACTGTGACGGCCCGGGGTGAAGACCACCGCACAGTCCGGATGATTTTAGAAACTTTGATACCACAGCATGACGCACGTCGCCGTGGTTTGTTTTGTGTCGGGGGGGGGAGTATGGAAGTGATAGACCTGGAGCAAATAAGGTGTGGCCTTTCTGTGTGGAAGGCCGTTCTGGGAAGGTACTGGAAAGGCTGGGGGGAGGGGTAAAGTGGGCTCCCCGGGGACATCAGCTGTTTGCCATAGCGCACCCCCTCCCCATCTGCAGACCATGTCTGCCACGGCCCCAGGCTTCCTGTGGAACATGCCGGGTTGGGTGCCTTAGATCTCCAGCGCTTTAGCTGCAGGCCCTATTGAGTTACCCTAGGCCCTGTGGTCTCCATGCCACCAAGCCCCTTTGGAAAGTCTCCGCCTTAAGGCTTGGGACAGTGTGCTTCTAACCGCTGCTCGTTACGAGGAAACAATTCGTTCAGTGTTCAGGGTGGTCGACGGTCTCCTTAAGCTTAACACCGAGGTTCATCTCGATGCGGAATCTCCAGGTCAGATGGGTGACTGATGGATACATTATGCAGTGCATTAGCTGGTAGAGTTTGGTGGTGTTTGTCCCACTATTTTCTCAGGAGATTTGGCATTTAATAACGTTTGTAGGAGTAAGGTGGGTGATTGAAGGCACAGGCCACGGGGATCTTACGCATGCACAGAGGCGTGCTCGGCTACAATGGTGCTTACAGGCCGATTGTCCACCATCATTTCATGGTTTTTCCCCCCCCCCTCATCTGAATAAGGCACTAATCCTGGGGTTAATCCTGGAAAAATCCTCACTTTTACTTCCCATAAGCCAAGATGCATGGCCGCTTATTCTCTCTGGGAGAGCCCGCACTTTCAGACAGTCTAACACCGACCGCTCTGGAAAGATAACAGTGGCTTCTCCTCCTTTAACGGGGGGATATATAGTTCCCTTTAGCTCTCTTTAGATTGGACACAGTATATGATGTCATGCATGGATTGTACCAATGGCCCACACGCAGAAGGGAGACCCGTTTGTGATACATTCATGATGATTTGTGCTTGTCAAGTTGTGGACACAGTTTCCTTCGTGCAGTTTGTGCCTTTTTGTGTTCAGTCCTCCATTCCTGCGATTGTGGCTGTCTCTTTCTTGGATTCATTAATAATGTATTCTCCCCCCCCCCCCCCCCGCATTTTATTGGACCCTGCCGTCAGATGTGTGGGCTGTGGAGATTAAGTGCAGTTGGTGCCCTCGATCGAGAGATTCCCCAATCCCACATGCTGTCCCACTTCCTGTTACAACCTCGGCCCAGCTCTAATTCTGGGTATGAGGCAGTGTGCAGTGCTGTCACCCTCCACAGCCAACCACTGGAGAAGGTTTCTTGCCAGTGCTCCAGTGGCATGGGCGTAATCCCCCATAATCCAGATGGCTGTGGTACTGAAAACGCGAGTGCGTGTTCTGGGCATTAGAAGGTGCTGGCTTCTCGTGACCTTTACGTGTTACCCATTGAACTGTGAATACTGTAAATAGCTCAAGATGGAGGAGATGAAAATTCTGGGTGGTTTGTTATGAAGCTGCGAAGCCCATTCCAAGCGTACGCCTTCCAGGATGGGGTAGTGCAGTGACATGTCAAGTCACGGTTGCTGAACCTGGTAGGTAGTTTGTGTCCGTATAGTTTTTAAATAAATATTAGAAGCATTAAATCGTAAATGACGAAAGAAAACATTTTGATAGCCTTAAACTAGTGTCCAGTCTTCCGGGACGACCAGACAGTCCACATTTTTGCTCCCTCCCAGCTCCCAGCCAATCAGGAGCACCGAATTACCTGCCACAGGTGTGCTGGGAGCTGGGAGGGAGCAAAAATGTGGACTGTCTGGGGGTCCCAGAGGACTGGGTTGGGAACCAAATAAGGAAGGAGGGGGGGTATTGAAGGGCTTTGCCAGGCAGATTTGCAGCCACTTACGCTTCCTGTCTCCTGATTCAAAGACGACACATGTGGCAGCATCTAGCACCTGTGCTGAATGTATGACGATTCCTTGGGCTTTTTGGACGCCGATGCCATTCAGTTTTATCTGGGGCATTTTGCATAGATAACCTGCCGGTTTACAGAGCTGCTCTCCTCGGAGAGCTGGTCTAATTCTTTCCCACAGAAAGATGAGACATGAGTATGAAGGTAGTGTTTCTGGCTCTCTAGGTTTGCCGTCTCTGTGCCAGAATAGCGGCAGGTTCACATATAGTCACCCTCGCGTTACCAGAGTGACGTGCGATACTGCACTTTGTTGCGCTGGCCTGCATTTGACTGGGAAATGAACACAAGCCTTGTCGTTTGGATGGGAGACCTTGGTCGCTCATGCCCGATGCGAGCTGCCCTTGCAGCCAAAGACGTGGGCCGCCCTCCGTCTTTCCTGCTACAACGTCGACCATTTGAATGAAGAAGCAGCAGCCAGTTAACCAGCCAATCAGAGAGCCAGGAATTTCAGTCAGGCACGTAGGAACGACACCCCACTCTGCAGGGCATTTTCCGTAGTCACAAGGGCGTTTTTTTTTTTTTTTACGACTGAGTTTTAGGGCCGCTGTTAATAAAAATATCAAACCGTGAGAATAAAGACATAATATTTCGAGAATAAAGTCGTAAAGTCATGAGTTTTTGTAATGCGGTTTTAATATATTTATTTTTATCAGTAGTGGCCCTAAAGTCCGTCGTACGTTTTGTGCAAACATCACAATGAGCAGAAAACATCCTGCGATTCGGTTCTCCAATGCATTCAGATCAGTTTTCATAACAAGACTTCTCATCCACCTATTGTATGGCTTCAGGCGTGGGGGCTAAGGGGGGGGGGGGCAGTGTCACTGCTAGACTGACTTGAACAGCTGACTATAGCTACTGCGTCATATTCGGTGCCTTGACATGAGAGGCTGCGTGACAGTTGCTTCCTGACTAGTAAAATTATCTGAGCGCTCAAGTGTCCTGGACCTTTGCTGCACTCCTATGCATATGGATACCGTCAGGCTCGTTAAGGTCCATCTCATTCACATTGTATCCTTTGTCTGTTCATTGTTACAAAGATAGATAGATGGATGAATGGATGGATGCTTGAACTTTATTAATCCCGCCAAGGGAACTTTCGGTGTTACAAGCAGCAGTTTAAAACTGGGGCAAACATTGCGCACAACGCAAGAGCGCAAGAAATGCAAATAGCCAGCGAAGTGTAAGACCTGCACTACGTAAACATGACAAACACAGG